TTTTTTTTTTTTTTTTTTTTTTTGATCGACGGCACCGAAAAACTAATTTTTGTCATGAAAATTTAGACCTATTTCCTTATCCTTTGTTTGAAATGTTTCTTGCCAAAGTTTCTATATAAAGTAAGACTTCAGTTTGCGCGGATGACGTCACTTCTAGTTCGAAAACGCATCCCACATGGAAACGGAATCATCCATTGGTCCTTAGCCTTCAACGACACATGCTATATTTGGGTCTGCTGGTCATAGCAAGGGGTTAATCATCTATGGTCTAGGGGCCGACTAACCTCTCCCTTAGGCTTCGGCCGAGCTTCCTGATCAGTCTGTAATTCCTTCCGGGATAGCGGTGTTGGGGTCGAAATCTCCAGCGTAGCCGTAAGTCCATACGACGGTTCAGCATTCGATGTCTGGAAATATGGTCCTGGTTAATTAATGAAGAAAAAAAGGAAAAAAATTCTGCCTGATAACTTTTCTTATTATAAGCTTGGAAAGGACGACGAATCCTCTTCGTGCATGCGCGTTTCTAGTCAGTACAACCATTTTTTCTTTTCTCTTTCCTTTCACAGTACTTCAGATATCCCAACCACATATTTCTTTTGTCTTTTACAGTACTTCAGATATCCCAACCATTTCTTTCTTTTGTCTTTCACAGTGCTTCAGATATCCCAACCATATATTTCTTTTCTCTTTCACAGTGCTTCAGATATCCCAATTATTTTCGTCTTGTGCTGACCACACCAGAAGAAATGACGAAAGAAGCTTGCTTACGGATCACAGAGTTCTGTCAAACGCACAGAAAACAACCAATCATTAACGGCTGCAATGGACAGAATTCGGACGACGATCACGACAAGTAGCTAGTCCAACGGTATGCCTTTCCACGCTAGACGTCAATGTTGTAATATCATTTTAGAATGCATTACGCGTGCTCCGAGGCATGGTTTTAGCTTCTAAGCTCGCAGATTTTGATAGGTTAGAGTATTTTTCTCGTTTTTCCGACCCAGACAACTCTAGGTGAGGTTCTTTTCTCGTGTTTTGAGCGCATAGGAACGTATCAGAGGAGGAGAGAGAAGCGACTTGAAAGAACTGACAGAGAGAAGAGAGAAACAAAGGGAAGGTCGAGGGAAAAAAATATTGATATTAATGAATTTTTTTGTTTGTTTGCGGCAGGAATTAGGAGTGAGGAAGAAAAATGTTTTAGAATATTTCTTTATCTTCGCTCTGCGTTGTTTTCATTTAATTTAATTTACGACAGTCTGGTTTATTTAAGGCACCTCAAAAGAACTTCAAAAACCTAGACGTCTGGAGGCTTCCAAGGCTACAAGGGACTGATGAAAATCACTTTAAGTAAGCTCTGATGGATCTTTTCAGCTTGGACGTAATGTTTTCTCATTCCACAACCCGTGTCCTTCCCTAGTCACATGAATATGGATACCACTCAAACAAAGGATCTTATTCACAAGAGAATGACACGTGGTCTGTAAAAAGAAGGCATTACGAACAAGCCGAAAAGATCTATTGTTTAATTTTAGCAAGCCAAAACTAGGCGAACAGTAAAGCAGTTTCATTTATTTAATAACGTAGAAAGAATATCGTGAAAAAAATGCTTTTTCGTCTGTTACTCTTAGCAAACCGTTCTCTTTGGTTCTCAAAGAAACCTAGTTTTTTTACACCATAAAATAACCTCTGGACTGATGAAGTCAGGTCACCGCTGCTAATCCACAGATTGAGTTTAGCGTGTTGAACCTGCATGAGAGTTAATCCTTGAGAGATCCAACAAACTCTACTCACATCAGATGCTGAGTACACTAATATTCACGAAGTTCGATATGCGTTAACTTATATTTTTTGGGGTGCATGTGACGTCATGGCCGCAATTTTCGTTGACAAATATTTTCTCTTGGTGTATATTTTCATGTCAACAAACTTGGCGCTTTATGTTTTGTCATTTTATTCTCATGGGAAGGGATGCACGTCACCTATAGCATAGTAAAGGAGGGTACTTTTTTATTTGGATGGAGGGGAGGGGAGGGGAGGGAAGGGCTGGGGGAGTGGGCTGAGGCCTCGGGAGGGATGGTCGTCATTAAAAATATCAACTTTGGTGGAAGGTCGAACCTCATTTTGACGATAAGCACGGTATCTTCCCTTATGTATTTTTTTTTTTTTTTTTTTTTTTTTTTTTTTTTTTTTTTTTTTTTTTTTTTTTTTTTTTACAATTCATATGGATAATGTGTTTACTATTTAACAGAGTTGCACATTTTGGAATTTAAAATATTATATGGTAATACCAACCCAGAAGTATTAATAATGTAAGGRTTAGTATATTTATATTTTTATGGTTCCTTTGAGGTTTATAACAAATCTATGATAAAATCAATTACTGTAATAGTTTTTGGAAGGCTTGAAGCAGTAGCGTAGCGAGGATACCAGAGTTTGAGGGGGCGAGCGCACGGGTTTTGGCGGGAAAATTCCCGGAAAAATTCTCCCGTCAAAACCACAGGTAGCCCAACGAAATAGCTACGCCCTTTGCTTGGAGATTCTGACGTTAAGCGTGTGTTGTTAAATTGAGGATAATGATAAAGCTTTAAAAAATTGAAAATGCTAATCGTTTGAAATTACTTGCTCCTATAGATTTTATTCGAGATAACTGACCACAACGTACAGTATAGTGTGCAATCTTGTGTTAAATTAAGTGAAGTTTGAAATTTATTTGTGAATGGGAGTTAAAATCCCACTCTCTATTTATTCTTTTTTCTCCACAACATTAAATTGGGACGTTTGCATGAGGATGTCATTTGACTCTCACTACCAAGATGTCTCTCGATCCTACGGCTTTCTTTTTCAAATTCGTGTGATTTGTATTTCCTCATGAGAATAGTAAGATAATTGGTGCTAATTAACTGAACAAAAGAAAGTATGCAAAGGATTCTGGTAGTTGTAGTTAATAATTATAATTATAATAGTATATTAGTAATAATAATATATAGCTAATAATAGTCATGCAAATGTCCTATTTACGAGTTTTAAAATTTTCCTTAAAATAAGAAGGGTTGTTTCTTAAAGTTACATAATCTGTATGCATGAGCATTACGCGATCATACACCTTCAAGGCGTCTAGAGTTCTGATTCCGTCTATCAAATTTCCAAAACTCTGAATTAGTATTTTATGATTAACGGGATTCAAAAACCAAGACATCTTGGGCTGTTGGTCGCGTAACAGGCCACGTTCGAGATATTTAATTTCTAGCACGATACCGAGGCTATGCGAAACAAAAGTTTTSTCAAGGTTGCGTGCGCATCCAACTTGACGGGCCACGAACCTTCTCGCACTCTCTTTCTTTATCTCTTTCTCCCTTTCTACTACTAGAGCGCATGCAGTAAAACCATGAAATAAAAACAAAGTTGATACTGATAAATAGTAGTAGTGGAGCTGCTAGAGGTAAGGACCATTTGTGTCTTTTGTGTCATTAATGTTGTGGTTGAGATAGCAACTATTTAATCGCTAAATAGCTACTATTTGTCAGTATCAACTTTGCTTTTATTTCATGGTTTTGCAGCATGCGCACTACTACAGGTCAAACAAACCTTGTGATTGGATAAAAACCAAAAACAAAGGAAGTTGGTTGCGATAAAGGAATTATATTATATTACATGTCCATTAAGAATTTAGCTTTGAATTGCGTGCCATTTCTTTGTTATTTGACCAAACTTTGAATGTATAACATGTTTAGGGATATAGGTTTGGTTTAAAACCAGACAATTGAAAAAATATTTAAGGTATTTGGAAAGAAATGGTTCAAAATAAATTACACAAAAATAAATAAACGACTGGTGTTTCTAAGGCCTGGCAGAAGCAGCTTCAAATCCCAGACATTTATATAAGGCCCTTTTAAAACAACCTCACACGCGCGAGCAAGGGCGTCAAGCTCGAGCTAGCTAATGGTACCTTATATTTATTTCAATAATTTAGTCACCAAAAACCTAGCCAGCTGAGATCACTGAAGATCATGGGAAAATCAGTTTTCAAATCAAACAAGGCTTTTTTTGATACAAACTGCAGCTTGAGGATGCCCAGAAGAGGTGAGACTGYAACTGGTAGAAGATGCGCAAGTCCATCAACAGTTATAAAGCGGTTGAATCATGTAAAATGTATCTAGTACACATAATCCTTGTCGGCCTCGGCTTCGTAGCTTTTCAGGTGACTAATTTTCTTGAAATAAGTAATATGTTTGAAATTCCATCATTTTTGCTGATGAAGCCTTTTACTTTTAGATTGGAATATGAAGCGTGACCTTCAAGTTAGAAAATGCCATTTTTCTTATTTTATCCAAAGAACATAAAAGCACAAAAATTCATAGGTGTGTAATTTATGAACGGGGATTACGGTCACCAAATCAAAAATAGAGCGACTTAAAAAACCCGACTTTTTTAACGCGTGGACGTGCGTGACCAATAGACTTCGCATTTGATTTTCAAGGAAATTTTGATAAATGTAGCACGCAGTTTGCAAGGAAATAAAGCAATTCTTTGAGAAGCCATCACAAATATAAGTGAACGGATTCGGATCCTTCAAAGTAGATCTCTCAAAACTTTTATCCGCTTAAGGAGCCTTTATTTCATACAATTATTTTGATTGATAAATTAACCAGGACCATACTTCCAGACATCGAATGCTGAACCGTCGTATGGACTTACGGCTACGCTGGAGATTTCGACTCCAACACCGCTATCCCGGGAGGAATTACAGACTGATCAGGAAGCTCGGCCGAAGCCTAAGGGAGAGGTTAGTCGGCCCCTAGACCGTAGATGATTAACCCCTTGCTATGACCAGCAGACCCAGTATTCCATTTGTGCCAATGATGACTAAGTTCCCATGTTCAGTCTTTCCCTTGTGGGACTTAACTTTGTAAGATTTACATCTTACTAGAATTAAATATCAAAAAATAAATTAAATATATAGTTATTGCTTCGCTAAGTGTGCTTTGATTTATATTAGCGAGAATGGGGCATTTGCGATATTAGAGAACTCATCACGACGTTGAAGTCATCCACGCATGCGCAGCCAGCTTTTTTTCTATCAATCAAATAAAACAATAGGACGTTTGCATGATGGCATCACTGACCTCTACTACCAGACTCCCTTGCAGACTTTCTTTTGTTTTTCATTTCTTTCTTTCATTTTCTTTTGTTCAGTTAATTAGCACCAATTGTTTTACTATTCTCATAAGGGAATACAAATTTGAATAAGAAAGAAAAAATTCGCGAAGCATTATGCTAGTGGGAGTCAAATGACGCCATCATGCAAACGTCCTATTCCGCGACGAAAACAATATACTCAGTCCCTGCAAGGAAAATGTTAACGAAGCATTTTTAAACCATATTTCTTTCGAGAAAAGTGGTCAACTCAGCTGGAATATAGAACTATAATTTAAATTTTATTAATTTATATTCCATTGTATATCAGCTTTACAACTAGTTAGGGGACAATACAAACAAACGAGCAAAGAAAACAACTTGTCGAGGGAAAAAGCAACAGGACAAGTAAAGTTCATGCCAAAATAAATGATTTACAAATACTGAAATACTAATGACAAACACTAAGAAAAACAAGATTGACATTCATAAACATGTTTCAATTGTCGCGGACACTAAACTACGAACGTAACAGCACGGACAAGCRTCGCTGGTACAAAAACAGCCAATGAGAGGAAAAGATGTAGGCGGGAATAGAGGGTGAAATTTTATGCATCCAATATCTTAATGCCAACATTTTAATAGCCCTTTCAGTCCAACTAATATGAATATGCCAAACTTTTCTTATGCAAACACAAAGCAAATTCGAAAATTATTGTTTGACAAATCAACGCCTTTTTGCGTCTAATATATTCGTTCTTATCTTTTCTTAATGCAACCCCCCTCCTCCCTCGGGTTAGTCAATGAACCTCCCCTTAGTGTATGCAGTTTTTACACAGTGATTTCGTTCCACCATTATCTCCATAATCTACACGCCTGTTCATCCCCCCCCCCCCCCCCCCC